GTAATGACAGATATTTAAAGGTCAGGTCAGTACTAACTTTTGAATTATGGACTTTGAGAAGTCAAATGTTTGGGACGTGAATCTACTCATTGGATTGAACAGGTATTGCTAATAAAGGAACATTTCATTGATTTATTGATTATAACGGTCAAATTGAGTTGAATGTAAGTGAATCTAATGTTGATTGATCGTGGATGGGTAGTTTCGCCACGAAGTGGTGCAACTACCAACCTTTGTAGATTGAATCAGGTTGTTTTGCATGCAATATGAATAAGCAACATTATCAAGAGTGATTATTCACCAATTCAATGATCAATATTCAATAATCGGTTTGATTTCAATCAATAGCTTGATCATCAAGCTTTGAATTAATATTCCAGTAATTAACGGCAGTCTATTTTTAAATTTAATCAAAGACCATATATAGTATCTAGACTTTTATGATCTGGAAACTATCTAGATGTGTTCTATATTGAATAATCTATTTGAAAATGAGATGAATTAACTCTTCTATTGAGTTTTATTGGTATTGCAAGGTATTACGATTATAATAATCTACACAGAAATCACTCTTCAAATATAAACTGTACTACAATGTATGAGAAACATAACGGCGGTGGAATTAATCAATAAATAATTGAAATGACTGAGATGGAATGTAAACTATGGTCTATTTGTCATGAAATGGTGACTAGACAGTGTCAATTTCATCAAATTATTTCAAACTGATTACATTCAATAAAAAACCGTTCTATACATCAAACATGTCATACAGAATGAGTTTCAATATTTAAGGGTTTGGGTTTGGGTTTGGGTTTGGGTTTGGGTTTGGTTTGGGTTTGGGTTTGGTTTGGGTTTGGGTTTGGTTTGGGTTTGGGTTTGGGTTTGGGTTTGGGTTTGGGTTTGGGTTTGGGTTTGGGTTTGGGTTTGGGTTTGGGTTTGGGTTTGGGTTTGGGTTTGGTTTGGGTTTGGGTTTGGGTTTGGGTTTGGGTTTGGGTTTGGGTTTGGGTTTGGGTTTGGGTTTGGG